CGTGTGGCTAAGGTCTTCTGTCTTGGTGGACTGAGGGGTGGGGAAGCGGCGCCGCTCCCTTGGGTCCATAAGCGTGGGTGACGGAACATCCGTCGTTCGTGGAGATAGCAAATCCTTTTTCGGAGGCGTGGCGGTTGTCGTATATCTTCGTCGGGTTCCGTGTCCTAGAGTGAAGGCGGCGCCTACAACTCTCTGAGGTGGAGAGCTCACTTTGTAGCACCTTCGGGCTCTGCGGCGCTGGAAGGGCCTAAAGCGCTGTCCGTCATCCCTGGCAGTACTTTTCCTGCCGGTGCGGTATGGTTTTTGGAGCCACGGTTGACTGAACGTCTTGTCTTGCCTGTCTCTATCATCTTGAGGAACAAGGAGAAGTGGTCGAGTAAGATGAATCCAATCTTCGATATGGAGCAGTGAGGCTTGTTCCTTGCCGTCAGGCGGCGGAGACCAATCCCTATCTCTCGGGCGAGACCGACCCTACTCCTCCTCCGAGGGTGGGCGAGGCGGAATCTATCCTCGGCCCTCGGCGAGGCCGAGCCCGCCCTAAAGGCGTCGGGCGAGACGGAGATTAGCCTGTGCCCTCGGGCGGAGAGCCACATCAAAGGCGTTAGGCGAGTCGGGGTTTATCCTCGGCCTTGGACGAGATCGAGCCGTACAAAAGGCGTCAGGCGAGGCGGAGACTAATCCTCGGCCCTCGGGCGAGACCGAGCCCACCCAAAGGCATCGAGGCGAGGTGGAACAAAGCTCTGTCATTCCGGTGAGGGTGAAGCAAGCGCTCTTATGCGTCCCAGAAGTTTTTAACGTTCGGTGGTTATTGGTTCCACCTTCAGGGTACCCGGTATTAGGTCCACGACACCTTGTCCGGTGAGTGGGGCAGCTCTGAGACTTAATCGGTTATCGCACGAGCATCGAGGAGGCTACCGTGGACCCTAGCCGAGGTGGACGGTTGGAGAAGAGGGTGATGGAGAAGGGCTAGCTACGTGCGGCCGAGGCGCGTGGCGGCGCGCTGCGGTGTCGCAGTCGCGTCGGCGATGATGGGGGGCGGTAGCAGATTGACTAAAGCGTAGGAGGTGAAGAAGGAGTTAAGGCTATGCTAGTGGTGCAGGTGAATTTATTCAGGAGAGACGATAGAAGGGCTGCTCACATCCACGACCGGACGCGTCCTTATCGGCACGGTGGCGGTGAAACTCCAAAATTGGAGCTTGGCGTGCAGCGCTTCAAAGTTAGGTAGGGTCGGGGTCGGGTGACTTAATGGAGAATCAGGGCGTGGTGAATCGGCGATGGTGACTCAACCATGCCGAATTAAGCGAGCGGGTCGGCCGGTCGCGGTGACAGAGAGGGAGGGGCAGGTCTGGCTCGGCTCGTCCTTGCCTTGGCGGCAAGCGGCCGGTCGGACCCGAGGCGGTGTCTGCGCACCCGCTACGCGACAACGTGGCTGGACCACGCGGCGTCTGTGAGGCGATTAGAAGTGCGGCATGCGCGACCACAACGCCATTAAAAGGCAAAGCGGCGAGGCGAAGCGAGAACAACGTACGTCGCGGCGAGGACAAAGCGGCGGCAACGCAAGACTGGCGTCGCGATGGCGTCAGTAGCGGCAACGTGAAAGCGAAGACAGCGATCGGCGGACGATGGCGAGTGATGGCTGGCGCGTCGCCGTCGCAAAGCGAAGCGAGCCACAAGCGGCGGCGACGACCGTCGCACGGATCCAGCGGTGGTATCGTGGGCGCAAGCGAGCGAGGGCAGCCACTGGTAGCCACGTCGCGGCTAGTGCGGTGACGCCGAGCGCCCGAGCCTGGTGACCGCATCCACCCGTGAGCCAATCGAGAAACGTGCAGCGCCTACGAATTTTAAAGCGTCGATAGCAACTAAAGCTGTTGAGGTTGACACTAAACCGCCTTCACTATACTAAAGAGGGCCTATTAGGCTACCGATCTGAGCTAAAACACGACACCACCTCTTAACTCAATTTCTTAAAATAATTTGCTAAATATAGCAATATTTAGTTGTTGACAAACTTGAAAATTTTCTAGGTTTTTGAGCTGAACTTGATTTCAATTTGCAATTTTGAGGCTAGTAGAAATATTAGCTAGTAATATTATTTTTCAACAACAAATATTTCTTGTCATCTACAAAGTTTGTACTTCAAACCTTATTTAAGTATCACACACATGTTCTAGTAGTTTTTGCTTAATAAAAAAATTAGTTTTCAACCCTACTTGATATACATGAGCTATTGAATCAACTTTTATTTAACATTTTATTGATCATTTTAAGTTACAAAAATTTATCTACACATTCTTTCACATGCATTAACATATAAACATGATGATCATGACATATTTTAGTAAATGATGTACGATGTTACACGAGGGTGCTAAGAAGGTCATGTATGGAGCCAACAATGCGTGGAGATAGCTACAGATCAGGTGCGGAGGAGGGTCTTTAAGGAACAAGGGTAAACTGTAATGGGAAATTCGTGTTTCTATTCCTACTTTAAAGTGTAGAGTAATTTTATTCTTACTTTTTTAACTTTGTGATTTTGAATTGTGACGTTCATTTGCCTCTAGTTTGTAATAGTGTGAAGTGTGGAGAGATTAAATGGCAAAAGAAAAAAGAAAAAAATTCTTTTTTTTTGGTGTAGCCGCGGCCTGCCGGTGATACAGATATAATTAATTCTATTCTATTTATTCTAATGACAATTTAACTTGTGGGTATATACACGCACGGGTATTATACTCGATGGGTATAGATAAAAAATCTCACCTCAATATACAGATACAAAATCTTACGTGATATGCAATTTATTTTTATTTTTTTTTCTCGAACGTGCCGTGTAGCACGTATTTCATTAAGAGGAAGTAGACAACACCGGACCAAACAACAACGACTGGCCGGTAATTCTAAAATTACCAGCACAATCCCACAAACACAAACGATACAACAAGAAAGCACCGGGGGTAGGGCCTCCACCACCAAACCCTTACAGACTGAGCCTATTACAGGAAGACAAAAACACATTGGTAGCCTAAGGTGTAGTGTAGTGAAGCTGCGCTACACATCCACCAAGAAAGCCAAAGGGGCCAAGCCACGACAACCGTGGCAAAGCATCCGCACAAGAAGCGACCACGGCTGATGCCAAGCATCCGCGGGAAAAAGGACCATTACGACAAAGAATCCGAACGAGGGCCATCACACGCTCGATGGTGAATGAGCGTGGAGACCAAAGCGACGAGGTGGCCAAGCATCCACCCAAGTAGCAAGCAACATGAAGAAAGCATCCGCCAAGCGAACGACGGCGGCAACAACAAACACCAAGGACAAACCAATGTGAAGATAGAGTTGAAGCACAGATAGGCAAAGTAGAGCGAGCAACAATACCGACGGTCCAGCCACAGGACCGCCCGCCCCTATCTTGCAGTGGCGGTGGAGAAGCAAACACCTCTTGGCCTTCAAGAAGCGGCCTCTTAGCCTTGAGGAAGCGGCCGGGTTCCTCCAGCCACGCCACCATGGCGCCCTGGTGCCCTGGTTGGCTATTGCCACCACACCACCACCGGCGTCATTGGCACTCATCCAAGCAAGCCGTTGTCGGCCATGCCACCACCAGCACAACCGACGCACTGCTGCGCCGGTCGGGTGGGAAAACACCATGACAACGCCTCAAGGAGGGAGATGGCCCAGAAGGCGTCGCCGTCGTCTTTGGCGACAGATCCGACATGATAGCTTTCGCGGTGCTCGCCACATCGAGCACAACAAAGCGAGGAGTCTTGAAGGCACGCCACCCCCTCCTCCACCGCTTGACTATACATGCATGCACAACACAGGATGGAGCGACTCGGCAAGAGCAATGGGGGATCGGGAGTGCATCAACAAGCCATCAAGAAGGGAATGACATCCACGGACGCCAACCGTTGGGAGAAGCATCAAGAGGATTGCGTCCCCAAGCTTGCCCCAAAGAACCCTAGCGGCGAACACTTCACGGCCCCGACACGCATGACCCAAGCGCCAACCGCGAAGTCCAGCAGTCACCCCACACGCCACCCACTGCACCACGGGCTCGGGGAGCCATGATGCGACAAGGGAGGATGCCGCCACCAGCATAGTGGGCCCTGACCCGGACCTGGGAGGGCGGATCCGCCCCACCGGCCAGCCTACCCCCGGAGATAGCAGGAGGGGAAGCTCCCAAGCGCGCCCGCAGCACGGCTGGCGGCCGTGAATGGGAGGAACCGCGCGAAAGGGGCGCCACCATCCATGGTGGCGGATCCGGACCGGGGAGGGATTCGGCACCACCGCGCGCAGAGGTAGTGGGGGTGCGGAGCAACCATCGCGCCCGTAGCCTGAAGGACGTCGGACCGGGAGCGGGGCCAAGCGAGGGAGGCCGCCGACCACCGTGAGAGGCGGATCGATGGACGGGAGGCGGATCCGCCTGCCATGGCCCGGCCAGACCACGGAGTGGCGTGGACCGAGGAGGGTGGTGGAATGTGAGGAGGAGGAAGGGGCTCTGACGGTTGCGGTTGTCTTGGTTGTGGCCGTGGCATCATGCCCGCTGCTTCCTGTTGGAGGGAGGCATGGCGAAGAGAGAAGGAGGCTGAAGTGGCTGAGGGCTCTTGTGGCCAGTGCCCCAAGTCGCCTGATTACCCAAGGATTTTTGGACGATTATTTGTTTTATCGTACTTTATCCAACCCAATGCCATCTCTAAAATGGGTAGCGTTCACTTCTAATGAATATTATTTGCTAGTACTCACTCTATTCTAATCTAAATTGAAAAACGTTTTGATCTTTTTAGATAGTATATATATTTTTTTTTTTGTTACGTATCTAGATATACACCATATTATATCTAAATATGTATTAAAATAATATATCTAAGGAAATCAAATATTTTATAGTATAAAATAGAAAATGTTTTATAATTTGGAATACAGAGGGATAAAGGAGTACCTTCCTGTCTTTCTCCTGCTTCTCACCGAGTCACACCGAGCCAAACCCTAATTCACGGCCGCCGGAGATGGGACAAGGTTCTCCCGGCAGGATGGGCAAACAGCCCGGGCTCCCGGGCGATCGCAAGCAGGGAGACGGGAAGAAAGAGAAGAAATATGAACCACCCGCCGCCCCTTCCCGTGTCGGCCGGAGGCAGAAGCGGCAGAAGGGCTCCGAGGCGGCGGCGCGGCTCCCCGCCGTGGCGCCGCTCTCAAAGTGCCGCCTTCGCCTGCTCAAGCTCGAACGCGTCAAGGACTACCTCCTCATGGAAGAGGAGTTCGTCGCCAGCCAGGAGCGCCTGCGCCCCAGCGAAGATAAGACGGAGGAGGACCGATCCAAGGTCGACGACCTCCGCGGCACCCCCATGAGCGTCGGTTCGCTGGAGGAGATCATCGACGAGAGCCACGCCATCGTCTCCTTGTCCGTCGGGCCCGAGTACTACGTCGGGATACTTTCCTTCGTCGATAAGGACCAGCTCGAGCCTGGATGTGCCATTCTGATGCACAACAAGGTATATATGCACATTGATCTCATGGATTAAATTACGGAATTGAAAGTGTTACGCATGTTTCAATTAGTGATTCAGTGTGGTATTGAGGAGATCAGTGGTGGAAAAAGTTTATTTTTTATATGAAGATTAGGATTTCTATTGTGTCTAGTTTAAACAAGTGACAATTAATAGGCTGTTCTGGTTAACTTATTGGCTTTACTGTAGAATTTAGGTTTATTTTGGTTCTGTATGGTGGAATGTGGAGAAACCTTAAAATTTTGAAGGACACAATTATATCATATTATCGTGTTTCATAGGTGCACAACGAAGAGGTCAGAGGATTCCAGGAATTCTATATTTGTTTAAATTCATTGCTAATTCATCTAGGCTTATGAACTGTGAATTCACAGTTATTGCTGTATAATATATCTGTTCAATATGACCTCGTGTGGAAACTAAAGAACATAATTTATTTGGTTTCTATCTATAGATCATTTGCATAGTTTTTAGGCTGCTGTGTTATTTTTTCCGACATTTCTGCTGTGTTATTATTGATTGTGTTGTCATGTGCTATGAAGAAAATAATTTCTTTTCCCACCGTGTGCATCAATTTGGCATATACTTGGTATACAAATATTTGGAAATAGACATTGCAGTTTGGGGTATTAGTGATCTATAAATGGCAGGTAGAAAATTGTCACTTCAACTTCAAGTGATAATGCATTTCACGTCCCTCAGAGGTTTCCTTGGTATATACAGCACTTTTTTTCACGTTTATTTTAGCAGACACGATGCTGCTCTTCAAGTGATGTACTCTCGTTTATGTACTTTCTTCATTTGAATGCTTATTCAGTAAACAGCTTGGCCAAATGTTTCCCTTAGGTTCTGTCAGTGGTTGGTATTTTGCAAGACGAAGTTGATCCTATGGTTTCTGTCATGAAAGTTGAAAAGGCACCTTTGGAGTCTTATGCTGACATTGGTGGCTTGGATGCTCAAATTCAAGAAATCAAAAAGCAGTTGAACTTCCATTAACACATCCTGAGCTATATGAGGACATTGGGATCAGACCTCCGAAGGGAGTTATACTATATGGGGAACCTGGAACAGGAAAACTCTACTCGCAAAGGTTTGTGCTGATTCCTTGAGGACAGTTCCAAGTTTTTATTTCCATGCCTTAGTTATTTTTGCCCATCGATAAAGCAGTGAATCAACGAGCGCTTTTCATTCTTTTTTTCCTGATCACATAAGATATTCTCAAGGTACTATGCCTCTCTTCCTAAAAATCATCTTTTAATTACGTAAAACTTTTAAACGCTGCAGGCTGTTGCCAATTCCACATCAGCAACGTTCTTGCGTGTTGTTGGGAGTGAATTGATCCAAAAGTACCTCGGTGATGGTCCCAAGCTTGTTAGAGAATTGTTCAGGGTGGCTGATGATCTTTCTCCTTCAATTGTCTTTATTGATGAGATTGATGCAGTTGGGACAAAGAGGTAGGATATATCAGACATGAAAGTTTACCACAGTTATTTTCTTTGGTTACGAAAAAATTGCTGCTGGAGCTTCTAGTGAATGGATTGATGTGAGTTTTGCTGTTTCTTGCCCTGTTGTAGGTATGATGCTCATTCTGGTGGCGAGCGTGAGATTCAGAGAACCATGTTGGAGTTGTTAAATCAGCTGGATGGTTTTGATTCAAGAGGAGATGTTAAAGTTATTCTAGCAACAAATCGCATTGAAAGTCTTGACCCAGCCTTGCTTCGCCCAGGTCGAATTGACAGAAAGATTGAATTCCCTTTACCTGATGTCAAGACCAGGCGACGCATCTTCCAGGTGCTTCTATGTGACGAAAGCTTCTCAGTCCTACTCTTTTAATAGAAAAGCATGCTTTGTTCTTACCAAGGTTTTGTTTTGATGAGCAGATACACACATCGAAAATGACACTGGCTGATGATGTAAACCTAGAAGAGTTTATTATGTCAAAAGATGAGTTTTCAGGTGCCGACATCAAGGCCATTTGTACTGAAGCTGGCTTGCTTGCTTTGAGAGAGCGGCGGATGAAGGTACTGTACACCAAATGCCCCTTATGTTTTTCCATAAATCTGCTACTTTGGCTAACCTTGTTGGTACCTGTACCTATAAGCAAATTCACCAGAGTTAACCTTTTGTAATAGCCTATAACTTGGATACAAGGTCACAGAAAATATCCACTCATGATCTGCTATTTGGTTTCCGTTGCATTAGGTGACGCATGCAGACTTCAAGAAGGCCAAAGAAAAGGTCATGTTCAAGAAGAAGAAAGGCGTGCGGAGGGCCTCTATATGTGAGACTCATCAGCAACGCTAGAAGCCTTGGCGTTTGTAATCTGCTTAAATGGTCCGAGAATGTTTGCTTATTACAGCATTTTTTTTTGTTGGAAACACACAACTCAAACAACAGTTATCCTATTACGACTCCTTGGATATATGAAATGGCAGCGATGAGTCAAGAACTCAAGATGAGGTTGAATGCTGGTTGTCTGTGTGCAGGCGTGGACATGTATGACTATTCGTAAATGTAGTTCTGTTTATAGATTGTTGCGTTCTGGCTGTAAAAACAGAGATTTTTGCATGTTTAGCAGTTCGACTTGCGGCTGGGAAATTATGGTTTTGCATGTTTGGTTGGTGGGATGGGGATGGTGGACGGGGCAAGCCCCAGATTCAAGGCTGTTCGGTTCCAAACGAGCGGGATGGAAGTATGGAACAATCAACCATCCCGGAAAGATATTCGGTGCAGATGCAGATGGAACCTGTCTCTTCAAAATTCACCTCTCCTCGCCGTCTTCTCCGTCTCCAAGTTACAGAACTTGAGTGGAGGGCGAGATTAGGCAGCCGCTGGCGAAAAGGCTGGCTCGGGTGGCAAGATCATCGAGCTCGACGCAGGGACGGCAGCAGGGCGGTTTTGGGTCAGAGCCCCACGGATTTTGGTCCAACAGGTGTGGGTGCGAGAGTTGAGAGCGAAGAAAATATGGAACGAAGTAGTCCAAATAGACCCTGAATCAAATAATAAATTAAAATAAATTCATCCATGTCATTCCTTAGTTTAACACAGGCTAACTAGGCCAAACTAGACCTTAAGATGTAGTTGGCTCTGCGAAAGTTAACTAGACCGAAGACGTACTCCCTCCGTTCCGAAGTATAAGCCCAGGCTGATAAGTTCAAGCGAACATTGTTCAGATTGCCTTCGTGAGTGAGGCCAGTCTCAGTGGATAGTTTCAGGACGTTGTTTTCAAGACAATGAAACTTGGATGAAACATCCACTCTCAATGCAAAAATTTCATTCTATAATTTCATATGCATTTAATTTCATGACTCATAGATAGTTGGTAAACATGCCAAGAGAGTTTTATCTAGATGAAACTCATTTCTTCTCCCCTCTTAGATGTACTGTCATGTCATAAAAAATGTCTACGTAGCAACCTAATTTATGCAAATGAAACTCACATGGAGAGCCACGAGGAGATGAGCTGCAGCCTGCAGGCCTGCAGGAAACTGGCACATGAACAACTGATGTAACTAGTCGAATTAATTGTGGACATACTAATTGCTCGTTTGGATAATAAGATTGGTGGGACTGGATGTCAAGTGATATGTATAGTCTATCTATACCTAACCGTAAAAAATGAAGATTTATGTTAAAAACCGAAGTTTTTTTTTTCTTTCGTATGTCGCTTCTCTGCTTCTCGATTTGAGTTTAAAGTTACAACATCTTCGTTGACATATGTTTGCATGGCGGCATGCGTGCGGGCACATGGCTCACCCTTCACCTTTTTTGAACTCATAACCGGTACACATAATAGCCATCTATTAAAGTTCAGTCAATCTCCTGTTAATTTCTCATACAGGATTAATCCTTTGTTGCACTAGCATTTATTCTAGGACTTGAAATTATTTATTTAAGGACATCAAGTCTAATTAAATCTAACAAAAATAGTTACCATATTACCATTAGAACAAACAATTTGTATGCCCTGTTGCTCGGGCTTATTTGCTGTTGGTAACAAAAAAGAGAAATTGATGCATATATGGTTGAAAGAAGAAACTGTTGAGATATGGTAAAAAAACGAGAAAATGTACATATATGGTAACAAAAAGAGCAAATGTAAAAAAAAATACACAAAAAAACAATGTTGAGAGTGGGATTTGAATCCATGCCAAAAGAGCAAATGTAAAAAAATACACACAAAAAAACAGTATTGAGAGTGGGATTTGAACCCATGCCAAAAGATACACAAAAAACAAACAATGTTGAGAGTGGGATTTGAACCCACGCCCTTTCGGACCAGAACCTTAATCTGGCGCCTTAGACCAACTCGGCCATCTCAACTGATTTAATCTATGACGCTATTTTATTTTATTTATAAGAACCTTAATCAGTCAAATCATGTCACTTGTGGAGTTTTTCTGTTTTTGAGTGCTATCAATTATTTCGTGAGCACTTTGGGGACCTAAGTTTATAAAAAAAATATCCATACTTTAAATTGCAAGTTGTTTTTAGTTTTATTCTAAATCAATTTATCTAACTTGATCAAGTTTATAAAAAAATGTATTAACATCTATAATACAAAATAAATGCAAATTCAAAATATACGTATATATTGAATCTTATTTGATGCTGTAGATATTTGTCTGTGTTTTTATAAACGTGGTCAAAATAAGTGAAGTTTGACTTTAAAAAAAATAGTATGCCTCAATTCAAAATTCCCATATGCTCCAATGCAAATTCAGAGGGCATTTTTTTATTCCATAAAAAATAATGGTTTTGGGTTCGTATTCACGAAACCCTACATTTTTAGGCCCAGCTGGATTTAACCGCTTGGGCATCGAGCCAAGAAGAACTTATTCTATACTTTTTTATATAATCTATGATTAACATCTTTTTATAATACTCCCTGCCCCAGGAAAGTCGAATCCTCATTCTCCCCTGCCTCCTTGAAAGAGCGATATTCTCAGGGCTAGTTGACACTCTATTTGAGGGCTAGTTGACACTCTATTTGATTCTGATTCTCTATAGACGCTGATTCTTTGATAAAAGTGGTTCTATGGCTGAATGTGACTGAAAGTGATTCTCTTTGATTGTTTAGCATAAACTCTCAAAACTAAAAGTGGTTCTCTTTGATTGTTTAGCATAAACTCTTAAAATCACGACGAAGAATTACTTCACAACAGGAGAAGCTACTCTTTTTTTTCAGCTCCTAACCTCTTACTTCATTTTAGAGAATCACATTGCAGAATCAGTAGAGAATCACTTTTCTCTGAAAAACTATTTAGCAGAGCTCCTACATAGAATCAGCTTTGAAAGCTCCGCCAAACGGGGCAACAGTGGCTAGCTATGCCATAGAATATCCTGCTATTCTTTGTATCTTCAGTGAAAACCCGTTCTGATAACCACTTCCCTGACGACAAGCAAAATCAACACACAAAAAAAAAAAAGGCCAGAAAAATGAGGAAACCTCTGAGACATAGAGGTAACAATAATACAGCATGTGTGACTAACATAGTGAAAGAAGAAACTGAAAATACAACAATAGCTAGCGATACTGCTAAATAAACGGGGACACAGATGGATTCGTTGACAGAACTGCGTCTGAATCTTCAAGTACGGGGACACAGATGGATTCGTTGACAGAACTGCGTCTGAATCTTCAAGTGGTAGATTGTGTTGTTTCGCCAGTTTGTAGTCACGGCAGCAGTGCAGGTGCGCAGCTCCTGCAAAGTAAAAGGATCTTCTCAACCAGATATCAAATGGTCCAAAGAAACGACCAACATAAAGTGCGAATTTACACGGCGTGATAAAGCATAGGCCCTTTTGACAAAGATCAAATTCGATATATAACCTTTGCCTTTCTGTGCTAGAAGAGAAGTTAAACAGAACAGTAGAGTTCTGGTCTTTCTAATGTTGTTACTTCTGCTTACATAGGATTACTCCGATCATAACTATGGATTTTTTTGTAGAACCTCTTAACCTTGATGTGACAAGAAAAATTAAATGTCAGCACAAATATGACTAACAAGTATGCATGGGGCATGGAAAAGGTCTAACAAGCTACCATATCTTCTTGATGATACTGTCTAATGAAAATGTTTTTCAGCTAAATGTATAGCATAAAAATGAACTAACAAATATGCTTCAATTAATTAACTCATGATGCTTAGCTACCAGGAAAATGGCACATGGAGGTAAATGAAATTTACCCGCCCATTAATGTCAAAATCTCAAATTTTCTTATTTGCATGTTTCCTTAGCATCATCTGAGCCTGAGTCTGAGTCACTAGCATTGTACCCTGCAAAACAAGAACCTGTCAGGTCTAGCAAATAGTAGAAGACCACATGCATCTATACAGTTGTTGGCATGACGAAGACACCAAGGAACCCTGTAAACATTGAAATGAAGGTGGGATATGACCTGGACGTTTATTGCTAACTTTCCAGACTGTAGACCGATATCTTGATGCTTTCTCCATCCAAACTCTTGCCTATATAATGAAGTTGTTGGTCAGTCAAACTTTTGTTGCAATACAACAGGAATGATCACAGGATCCAACATAGGTGAGCTCAGTGCCCCTCTGGGCCTGCTTTTGCAGCTCTCCTGCCAACCAAAGATAGGTGAGCTCTCCTGCTTTTTCATTTTTTTAACACCCCATACTTCCACCCATTGGATTCCAAACCTATTCTGTGCTGTTGCAAAATCTATTCCCAGCTTCAGTGCACAATAGAGATTTGGTGCATTCATATCCAGTCTTATAAGATTTCTTTACATGTGCACCTATTTGCAGCCTATTATTCAATTTTTGTCACAAGGTCCTGGGCTCCTGGCAACCAAAGATGTTGCAGTCGCAATTTTTAGCTCTAGAATGTAGATGTCAAGCACCGAATATGTGATAACAAGAAAGTGGTACCCTTCAAAAAAAATTACAAGCAGGTGCTGCTTTCAGCATCTTAACAGCATGACTAGTACAACTGAACAATGCAATCTATAGTTTTATTGTCAACAAATGTAGTGAAATATGTTGGTATGAATCTTCCACTTCTATTCCTCATGTCAGCCAATGCCCCAATTAGATAGGAAATGCTAAGATCGTCTTACAGATCACTGTTTCTGATATTCGTTTCTGTTCCTTTTTGGCTGATGATAGTCACACGTCAATTATATGCAATAAAAGGCCATAGTTTCTTGCAAAACTACCAGTAAGGACTAAGGACACCACTTAACAACTACACAATCAGACAATGACATTTCCCCACTAGCAAGCGTTGCTACTGCAACAATAGGCAGAGCAAGTTGAGTAGCTGACAGCCTGACAACCTACCTAAGTTTGTGACAAGTCACTGAGGAAGTTTTGGAGCCGCCAGGAACTAAGAATTCTAACTAACCGAACCAAAACTGATCCAAAGTGAAACCATTCAATATTCACGAATTGGCATACTCCGAAGGCCAAATAAACCAGAACCAAAGCATTGACTAAGGCAGCCGCTTCAACTTCGGAATCTTAATGGCTCACCTTGTGCTCGTTCTTGTTGACACCGTATCCGCTGCGGTACATCTGGCCGACGAGCACCTGCATGGTGATGTCGCCGGCGCGCGCCTCCTTGAGTGCGTCCTGGAACCACCGCCTCGTGCAGTCCGACACCACCTCCGCGAGAGGCACCCGCTCGTCGGCCTCTAGCCCGCACGCCGCCGCCAAATCCCGCACCTCGGCCCGGCCGGAGCTGGCGGCGGCGGCGGCGGCAGCAGCAGCGGACTTCCTGGGCGTATCCAGCGGGGCTGCCGGCGTCTTGGTTGCCCTCCCGGCGGATGCGGCGGCGGCGGTATCGGATGGGACGCGAAGGCTGCGGGCGTACGAGCGAACCGCGGCGGCGGCGGTGGCGGCGGCAGGTAGGCGCTTGCCCATGCAAAGGTGGGGTTTCTTGGTAGGGGAACGGAGGGGGATTTGACAGGAATGCGGGGGCTTTTGTGCGAAAAGGAGGTGTCCACCTTTGCCAAAGGTGGAAAAGTTGGTGGCGTACTGGCGTGGAAGGCAAGAGCTGGAACATGAGTACTGGTGAATTTATACGTTTTAAAAAAAAAATTGCTTTGGATTTCTTGGTTGGAAATGGCGACCGTACGAAGCAATCTGTGTGATCACGACACGTGGGATTTCTGTAATAAAAAAAGCAACTGAAAACTAATATAGTTGAAACAGCATATAATTCTGTGATAGTATATTATTTACCGGCAAAAAAAATCTCTATTAGGCCCCCACATAAATAGAATTTGGTTCAAGTAAACAGTGCGTCTTCATGTACAACTAGAGTTGAGCACCAAAAGGTCCGTTTGAATGGACTAGACTAACAATTAGTCATACTTGATCATATAAATGAACTAATGAACTAACAATTAGTCCACATATTTAGATACTTAAGAACTAAAAATTAGTTAGCTAGTTGTTAGTTCTGTGGATCAAACATGGCCAAAGTAGACCCTCAAACAAAAGTAGAGAGCTTATTTGAAAATCCTGGAGTTATTCAAACCAAATAAAAGTCACTTGGGTAAGATCATATCAAATCAAATTTATACTTACAATGCTCTTCTCATAACTGTACCATTCCAGCCTGGTCCTATTTAGATGCAAAGTATATTTAGAGTTTTAGAAAAATATCATGGTTTTATATTGCTATGAAGTGTCTAGATGCAACAAATTTATGGTTCTAAAAATACTACTATTGCTAAAATTATAGTTCTTTTTTTAGTTTTATAAACTTACTTGATAGTCAGTAGACCTCTTTTTTCTAGACTATAGTTTTGCTTGTATGTGGGTTTTAAAACTATAGTTTCTTAATACTACAATATCTTAATACCACAACATCTAAACATGTGTAAGCACCAAAATCATTCTACATATAGCAGAAGGGAAACATTTCATATGTGGAGCCCAGTTGGCTGGGTTTCTTGTGGTGAAACAAGCCCGTCTGGTTCAATTATATGACTTGACATGTGTGTTTTTCTAGATTTTTTTAAGGATTTAATAAAGTGGTAGGCGATGTTATCATTGACAGTGAGACACCTGATTTGGTAAATCTTAAGCTCTCAATCTTTCAAGGTACTGGTAGGGATAGGAACATACATAATACGTATAAAATGCCTGTGTCTATAACCCTATATTATAATAAACAAGTTCTTTTACGCTGAGAGCATAACAAAACAAAACAAAAATCTAACCAGACAGTCAAAACAAATAAAAAAACGAGGACTCAACTATCTATTCTTTTGCACCATTTTAATTACTCAACGCATGAAATTAGCCCTTAAATCAAAGCTAATTTCAGCTCAAAATTGGTACTTGCAGTTGTAGAGTCAAGTGCACGTGATTTTCATGGTGGCTTCTTATGCAGTAATAACCGGTCTTCCGTTATTAAAAAAAGAAAAAAATCTTGCAATTGCAAGGTACTCGCGATCCCTTTATTTCATTGAAAACGGGAAGATTCTTTTGAAAAGGCAATTTGGAAAGGAACATACAATTCCGATAACAGGAATAGAGCAGTCCACTAGGCTATTATGATCAAGAGGATACTGGATAAACAGCTTCAATTATCCAATGGCTTGACCATGCATCTTTTTAACTACTAAAGCAACGAATGCAAAGTAAAAACAGTTTCGACTCAACAATTTGCTAGACAGATTCAATGTATATATGCACTATAACTACATGAATCGAATTTTTTTTCAAACGAAAATAAACAAACCTGTCACGAACCAGGACATAGTAATTCATGCTTACATCTTTGTGTATAACTCCATCTAAGTTTGCACTATTGTATGTTTGTTCCAAAACTGTAATGTATTATCAATTCCTTCATTTAGTTGAGTAATTCAGTTGTAACCCCAATTTGTATGCTCAAAACTGGAGTGAACATCTCCAGAAAGAGAGTTGCTAATGTTATTTTGTAGATCATAGAGATGATGATAATAATTAATACTCCATACGTTCTAAATTATAAAATGTTTTAGCTTTTCTAAATATATTGCTTTTAATATAGGTGTATATATAGACATAATGTATATCTAAGTGCATAGCAAAAATTATATATAGAAAAGTTAAAATGCCTTATAATTTAAAATTGAGGAGTATATTGCAGCATTGCATCAAGGGCATATACGACATGCTAAGGAAATACGTTTCATTACAAAATCTGGATGTGTATACGTAAAGGAAGTTTCAAAACAAAGAACAGAGTTGACAGGTCCAGCCGGTAGAGCCCATAGTGGACCAAAATGATCCAGGGAGGCCATCATATAGGAGTAATAATGAGTTGTCCAATGAGCACAGATGCTATACGTGGACAAAATTGCTGAATTTGAATTGCTACTCTTTCACAGTGCAATGCAAAAGTACAGGAAACTAAAATACCTTTTCTTTTTCCTCTCAAGTTCTATTTACCCCTAGGTAATACGTGGACAAAATTGCTGAACTTAAATGCTGCAAAGGGAGTCGAGATAATAAAACCGAGAAGAAAGCGTTTCCTCTCCATTCTGTTACCAAACTACAACCTTCAAAATATCTCCTCAGAAAAGACAGAAAATTTCCCTACCAACGAATAGAGCTGCCCAACCTTTTCCTTTTCTTTCAAGAATAGACCTGCCAAGCTTTTTTGTTTTCAAGAAACCTGCCCAATTTCTCCAATCCAGCACGGTGTAAAACAACAATACGTGCAGGCAGGTGAGGTGTAAAACAACAATACATGGAGGCAGGTGAGGGGGATTTAAAATCGGTCGTCCCTATCTGATGACCCGATAAATAGGCTAGTTGAGGCTTCTATGGGCAGTTGGCTCGATCAAATCAAAATATCGCCACGAAAAAAATCACAAGCATGACAACGACTGCATCACAAGCATCCTCCGTTGTGCAGATGACTATACCGTAGCCTTACATGCTCAGGGACAACAATGCATTGCAATAAGAAAATGCAAAATCTCAAAAGGTTATAAAAGCACAACCCAAGCAAATACTTATATAATCGCAATCCATAGGACCATAATAAACCGTGACATCCAACAGACACCAAACTGACGACACCACACGCAGCCAACCACATAGGGTATGCTGCACCACACGACAATTAACAGTTTTACACATCGTCACTAGAACACTGACACACGATCACACCAGACAAGCAAAAGGAAAAAAAAAAGCGTCACCCGGTGCAGAGAGAGCTCATGCTGCCATGAAGTGCAGGGAAGAAGTGTCGATGGGCAGTTTCTTACCTCGCTTGTGCAATGCGAGGGAGACCGCGACTTCGAACCCGGGACCTTCCGATCACGGCCGGTAAGACTTCTACACGCGCTTGCAGAGGCCCGCCCTTCCAAAAGGAACTTAATTGAAATATAATATTAAGTGCAGCATGAGCAGCAGTAAAGTGGCGTTGTCTCTTCACTCGTCGTCCTCTTCCTCAGACTCGGCGCTCTGGAGCCACTCAACGAAGAGCTTGGCGTTCTTGACGGCCTGGGAGTCCTTTCCAGCTGCAACAGCAGCATTGTACCAGTCCACGATGGTTTCTTCCTCCAGGATATCTCCATCGTACAGGGCTTTCAGGACAACTGGGACCTCCTTCAGTGCCTCAGGGTTGCACTTGCCACCAAAAGCCTCAATGGCCTGAACCAGCAGGGTCTGGGCACCCTCATCTGGCACAGCAGCTGCAAGGTACTTCTTGTTCTTCACAACCTCCTTCGCGAATCCCTTGCCCACACCATCAAAGAGAGCCTCGAGGAGAGCATTCATCACATCCTGGGGAGGAAGGGTTGAGGAGGCCAGCACAGCCTTGAGCTGGGTAGGGGTAGGACCACTTCCCAGGCTAGCCTTGATGTCTCCAACCAGTTTTTCATAGGGACTAGGCTTAGTGACAGCAGGTTTCTCAACAGGTATTTCTTTTGCTGAACCATTATCAGTGCCATCTTTGTGGGTTGCCTGTTTCTTCTTCTTCTCAGTCTCCTCAGTGGACAGCATCACCATTTCAGCAGTTGCTGCACTCAGCTGCTCCTGCATGCGCTGCTTCGCAGCCTCGATAGAAGTGTCAGTCTGCCACTGGACATCATCATCATCCTCTTCCTCATCTGCAGCTGCATGGTCACCATCACGGCTGTGAGTTGGAGAGGTTGAGTGGTCCTCATCAGAGCCAGCAGCAGTAGCCTTCTTCTTCGAACCCTTGGCAGTGGACTCCTTGGAAGATGCACCATCCTTCTTCTTCGCATCCTTCTTCAGTTTCTTCTGCTCCTCATCAGCAGCCTCACCTTCCTTCAGGCGTTCCTTCTCAGCTCTCCTCATGGCCTTCTTGTCTTTTCCTCCCTTCTTCTGTTCTGGTGGGTTTTCAGGATGAAGGTTGTGAGCTTGTCCCTCATGTCAGCATCTGAGACAAACCCACAGGCTGCACATTTCAGTGATATCATCTGTGTCTTTGAGATGAGAATCTCAGTCTCAGGATTCCCACATCCATAACACTGGACATACTTCTTGATGAATACCTCAAGGAGACCAGCCAGCTTTGCAGTATCATGAGCCCCATTAACCAAGGAAATCCCTGTCTTCTCATCAAATTTGGACTGTGCACCAAGCTCACAGCCAAAGTACTTGGTAGTGTAGGAAGCTGGCCTGGCAAGTGCTTTTGCTATGTCAACCATGTTCACAATATTTGTCTTGATACCATTACCACGACCTTCTATCTTGGTGATCATTCTGGGCATCTTGTACCTGTAGAAGGCATCATCCCTGTTTGAAGCACCAATGTTTTGCAGCGCCATCTTGGATAAAGATCTATGAAATCGGTGCTATCAGATGTGACAAAGTCCAGAATCGAGAGTAGCTGCTGATCCTTCGAGAAAACCAAGCCGACTCTGAGCACCAGCAAACGACACCTCAGAACAAGGAAACCAGATGGGCTCTTGATGCATGCAGTGGAACGGAACCTTGTGCCTTTTCCTCGTGGCGCGAGAGTACTCTCCCAGCAATCCCAAATAGAGCAAAGATTGTTCAGACATAAAAGAAGCAGCAACTCCTAAGCCCTCCACTTTGTCAGACTGCAGCAGAACAATTGCTGCTACCTGGTACAGCATAAACAGAGGATTGAATGTCAGAAAGAGATCATACAGCACCAATGTGTATGGGAACATCCAAGCTGAAAGTTCCATTGTAGGAAGGACAGCATATTACATTGTATGACAGAATAGCTAGTATTATGAACTGAGAGCAATTCAACCACGTATACTCTGATGGGCAACTAAACAAGATTATTACACTATCACCCAGAACAAAACTTTCATGCACCTACCCAAGTAACTTACAAACAAAGAGAATATGATTTGGTTCAAAAGTATACATGGAGATCCCATCATTCATCATATTATTGTGTCAATTAAGAAAATTGTATCTCCTGGATGAATGCAGTTTTAGTTTGATAGCTCACTAGCAAAGGAAACAATGAACTAAAAACAGCCGGGAAATAGTTCCTAACCAAGAATCCAAGTCATTGCATCCCATGTGCAGAAGGAGATGGTGAGTACAGAAAACCACACCAGCATATGAAAGAACTAGTACATAGGTGATTATCATCCTCAACACTACAATTGTCTGGCAAAAGATACATCATCATTGCCAAATATAAAATAAGACAAGCTAAACCCAAACAATAATAAACAACCAAATACCTATCGAAACAAAGCTAGAATGCACATATGCCTACCAACATAAACCACAACATAATCAGCTGCATGCAAATCCAAGTGCATAAATATTTTAGGATCCCAAATATTGTCACCTATCCAAACAGAGCTAGAACACGTATACACAACAAATCTTACACCCACAGTTGAAAAATTCATTAATCTGGCTTAAACTGAAATCGAACACAACATAGCATATTACATGAACTTAACTTTCAGGATCCCAATTAATACCTATCCAAACAGACCCCCAACGCGAATATACAACAAATCTGCTGTACAGGCACAGTAGAAAAATTCATTAATCCAGCCTAAACCAAAATCTTACCACAACCTAATCCGGGTGGTGTGTGTTACCAAGCAAACCCTAATTAAATCCTAGTTAGATTCCTCACGGAAACTCAAACCCTAGGTGGTGTTCCGTGTTACCAAATGAACGACCGACCGATTGTAGATGGAAGCGGTGGAGGTCGCCGGCGAGATGCGCTGATTGATTGGATGAGCTGACGGGGAGCGGGAAGTGGAAGCCGAACAGGAGGACGGCGGGGTGGGAGAGGAAATTTGGCGGCGGCGGCAGCGGCGGTGCGCTGAGCGGAGCCGAGAGTTGGTCGAGCGGTGGAGCCGGGGGGTGGGAGCGTTTTTCCTTTTTTTTTTCCCGAAGTTCTGACATTTGTCATTACTATTCGTCTATCTCAAACCACGTCATTATAATTTTCGCATACGTTGATATATGCCACACTCTATACCCGTCGAATGCTTGGGCCCGCTCGCAGGCTTACGTGGCATACACTGGACTGTATCCGTCCGTCTTCCGTTCATCAAGTAAACAGCTCGGTTACCTTTGTCGTCTCCTCAGTCTCACTCTCCCGCACTCTCCCTCTCTCTCGCCCTCGCTCGAACCCTAACCCGACGGTGGTGGTGGCGACTTCGGCGACGGTGGCGACAGCGAACCCGACGGCGGCGCGGCGCAGCAGGGACCCGACGACGGCGACGCAAGGGGCTCGTGGATATGAGCTCGAGCTCCACCGCTGGTGGCACCAGAAGGGGGCAGCCCCCCTACTGGACTGCCTCGATTGCCATGTTCCTCTTATCCGAATCCAGAGCAAGCAACCGAACTCGTTGAACGAGTGGTTCATGAAGTGCCCCAACAACGAAAAGGTGAGGATTTGCAGCGTTTTTTTATTTTTTCTGATTTGGTTTTAGTTGAACTGAACTAGGGTTAGCAGGGTGATCCAACAACGTGTAGATGGATCCGGTCTGAGGAACAGTACGAGGCCTTTGTGCGATCAGAGGCTCAAAAGCAAGGGAAGCAGATTCAGAAGCAGGTGCCATTTCATGGTGGAGATGACATTGGTGATTTGAAGAAACAGCTAGCTAAAGTGAAGCAAAGACTGGACAGTGTTGTCAATGAGGTTTGGAAAATGAAGATGCAAACCGGTGCGTGGCCACTTGGTGATGTTCGTCTAAGGCAGGACAGTGTCAGTGAACCAAGGCAGGATTTGGGCCATAGGAAATTGCAGATTGTGTTGGATGTATCTGTTGTTGTAGGTGTGCTTGTTGGTGCACTACTAGGTTTAGTTGTTGCCTAAATGTTTAAGTGACTGTAAATCAGTCTTAATGTAATGAATTGAGAATGAATCAATGGATGGATGGATGTTGCTTGAAGTTATGTGTTTGTTGTCTGGCTGTGATGCAATGTGACTTGATTGTAGTCATAATTTGAGCAGCATTGTGACTTGATTTTAGGCCGAATTTCAGCATCATTTTGCAATGATTTAGTCTTAATTTTAGCACCATTTTCACTTGATTTTAGTCAGAATTTTAGTATGACTTTGACTTGATTTTAGTCAAGATTTCAGCAGCATTTTGATATGATTTTGGTAGCATTTCAATGTCCACATTACACATCACAATAGAGTAGCAAGACCATTAGTATAGTAGCAAGTATATTACTTAATATTGTTCACTAACAACACACACAGAAGGGCATAAGTTCCAGGGTTCAAAAGCTAGCCACAAGCACTACTACTTAATTATCACATTTGATCAAAAGCTAGCCATAAAGTTCAAAAGCAGTCCACAACAAGCCACACACTGGCTATCATACAAATGCTTTTGGCATTCAGTCACTGGCTATTGAAAACCAGTTGCACTGTGAACTGAAAAATTTGCACAATGTAACAGAAAATGCTAATATAATTGACAGATGTAACAAGTTCACAGGCCATTCAGGCAATATTACATAAACAAGTTCACACACACTTGAACTCAAACAAGTTCACAGAAACAGGTTTAGGAAGGCCAATATTACAAGTTCATAGGCCATTACTACATTACAGGAGCTAACAAGTTCATAGGCCATTACTACATTATAGGAATATGACATCGCCATGCATAGAAGGCCAACAAGTTCATATTGCTATCAAAATGACAGCGCCAAGTTCAGATTACTACGTCACAGCGCCAAAATGACAGACCAGCAAACAACCATTTGACAGGCCACCAAAATGACCAAACCCAACAAGGTTATTCCACTGAGAACAGCAAATCCTTGTGGCTTTTAACCACTTTAGGTGATGTAGCAGCTGCATCTTTCTTCTGCTTTTTCTTCAGTGGTGTCTTCTTCTTCTTAGGTGACTTCTTCTTAGTTGCCTTCTTCTTAGGTGCCTTCTTGGATGGGTCAGCATTGTCAACTTCATCTTGCATCTTCCTATTACAACAGCTTCAGTTAGTACAGATTTAAATGGAAATAAAATAAAAAAAATAGTACAGATTTAAATAGAAATAAAATGCAAAAATTAGTACAGATTTAAATGGAAATGATTGCTGACCTTTTGTTTGTTCTAGCAGTTTCACCATCTTCACCTACCATCTTCAGCTTGCATGTCTTGGAGAAGTGTCCAAAACCTCCACATCTTTTGCACCTTACTTTCTTCTTGCTGTCTTGTTTCTGTAGGCAGCCCCTTATCCTTACTTTCTTTGGCCTGCCTGCTCCTCTCCCAAGCACAGGTGGATGTACTTTGAACCCAAGCTAAAATTTGGGTCCTTTGTGTTCTATCCGGCATAGGCTCAACTCTTTCTTCATATGCTCTGAATCTAAATGAGTAATACTCATGCACGTAATCTATAATTTTAACGCCTCTGTTTGATAGTATCCAGGCCAAGGCATGCTTGCATGGCTTCCCAGTAATCTATCATTCCCTGCAGGAGCATTTGTGATTCTTCAAGTCCACTGTGCACCTCTTCTGGTTATTCCAGTCATCAAGAATAGTCACCTCTGCAAAGTCTTCATCACTTACTGCAACCTTGACAACTTTGAGATTCTTGCTTATCAGGTTAAGTTCCTTGATAACACTTGGTAGTATGCCTTCTTTCCACTGCTGTGCTATCTTCTTTCTGACGTACCTCTTCTCCATTATCAACTCCTCGAGTCTGTCCACTATCTCATGGATATGAAGTCCCTTGAACTGCTTAATCTGTGCAGCCCAATTGAAAAGGTGTTGAAAGCTTTCCTCATACTTACCATGAATGTGGTTTAGAGCTTTGTCAGTAAACAGACCACGCTTTTGAGTACTTTAGCTTTATGCCAAAATCACCCTCCAACTTGTCTCTAGCATCTTTGGCTCCCTTAGTTGGGTTCTTTTTAATCTAATCCCCAAGTCTATCCGCACACCAACCCTAGGTAGCCATTTTGCCTTCTCTAAGCTTGGTGGTAGGATAGTTGTGCTCGACAGGTAGGACTTTGATATGAAAAAGACATATTACAATGACTTAGTCACACATATTGACATGTACAAAGCATAATAAGGTTGATATGAACTTACCTGTACAGTTTTCTTGTAAAAAATGGTAGAAGCATGTATGCGTCAAGGGCAGTCACTAGCAGCACACCTCGCAATAAACCTTGTCTTATCTGTTCGGACCCCAGGTGCAAACTCAAAACCCTTGACGACAGTGTAATGCCTTATGGCTTTCTTGAATGCAATGATATCAGGAAATAGCTCCCCCTTTTGGATTTTTGAATTCAAAGGATCATGCAGAATATGAACATCAAAAGGGTCTTTATCACCAACCTCTGTCTCATCAACAACAGGAACAACATTATCATCATTATCAATACCAGAAGCAAATGCATTTTCAGATGCCTATGTGTCAGATACCAGAAAATGGGGTACCCCAAGCAAAGATCGAAAAACTGCTTAGACCCTAAAAACAGAACCAACGGAATAAACAAACGAGGTCTCGGCCGAAATCTTCGATTCGCCCGAGACCCCGTCGCCGAGCCCCAGCGGAAGCAAACGATTCTCTGACTCGCCCGAGACCGCCTCGCCGAGGCCCCCTCGTCGAGGCCCGTTCGTCAAGGCCCCCTCGCCCGGGGCCTCGGAAGTAGTGCCGATTCTCCGATTCGCGCGAGGCCGGCTCGGGACCAGCCCCGTGACCGCCTCTTCGACCGAACTGCTCTGACCGAACGTCGCATCCAAGCGCCCAACCACTCCGACAGACGCACGATGGCATAGTACAACGAAGTGACCGACTACACGCCAGTCGCGTCAACCTCCTGCCATCTGCGATGGCACAGAGCAGGGGTTACCGACCACTATGCTACCTAACTCCTGCACCAAAGACATCGCAACGTGGGGAGTCAGAACGGGTTCCTATAGCCTCGGAATCAGCGGACCGACCGCTCCGTCTCGCCCGAGCCCCCTCGATAGGGCCTCGGATTCACTGATCTTACTTCGCCTCGCCCGTCCGCCGCCCGAGACCCCATGGTAGGGCCTCGGACGAATTGGCCACGCTCCGCCTCGCCCGAGGCCGGGCTCATCCCGCAACCTCGTCACCTCCGCCTCAAAGGTCTCTCTGGCAGGCTGTCGCATCTGATTAATGCGCTCAGCTGCACCCGCTACGTAAGCCACGATCGGCAGTGCGCTACAATAGGAGCGACGGGACAACGGTCATATCACCTTTTTTACCATCCCTACTAACAACACGGTATATCGTATCCCGTGAGGGCGCACGTCTCGTGACTTTATTACGCACGATGGCCGCCGATACCAGATACGCACACAGGTCACTTCTCAGGCCTCTAAGACGACAGGCCTCGGCACTAACAGCCTCAAAGACGACCCGGCTATGATGGCCGCCGAGCTTCTACAATCCACCAAGCCAATAAATGAGCAGCATGTTACTTGCAGTGGAGACCATACCGATTAGACATCTACGGGAACTCCCACGACAACGCCATGCTGCTCTAGGAGTAAATATGTCGTCGAATAGTCCGCTCCACGTGTAGCTCTCTTATGTACTCCTGGTTTCCTCCCTGTGGCTATAAAAGGAGGCGGCCAGGACCGTTTCTAGGGACGGCGGATAGAGTCACGAATACTCGCACGAACAACACACCTCATTCTGTAATTCATATCACCTCCCCTCACAGAGACCTAGGACGAACTCCCTCTCTCGCCTAGCTTGTAACCCCCTACTACGAGCACCCCAGTGCAAGGAATACAAGAACATCTTCTCAGACTGGACGTAGGGCATCCATTGCCCGAACTAGTATAAACATTGTGTCTCTTTGCATCACCATCTGGAATTGGGAGCACACAGCACAAATTCACTTGTCGGTTAAGGACCCCCGGTTCCGAAACACCGACAGTTGGCGCGCCAGATAGGGGCCTCTACGTGTCAGCTTAGTCATCCCACCAGATTCTAGATGGCAGATCCCGTGCGATCGTTGCGTCTCGGGATGATCGTCTGGTTCGGGAGCCTAGAATTCATGTCTCTAGGGCACGAGTACGACATGGTACTCCTCTCACCTAGAGCGCCATCAACCGACGACGACGTCATGCACCGGCAGCCCACGCGCGGACGGTGCCCGGGCCGCCGCTCCCGTCAAGCTCGCCAAGTGCCGCGCGGGCGAGTCCACCCTAACACCGCGCAAGCACATGAAGCGCCGATCGTGCTCCACCGGAATCCCATACCCGGCTGGCTGCACGGAGTCCTCAGACGGGGACCATCCAACTTAAGCCTCGGCAGGGGGAAAAGGGCGGTGGCGCCGCGGCGATGCCCCATCATCAAGCTCTGCCCCACCTCCTCCCGAGGAGCCGCTCTGGCGGAGCCGAGCACTCGGCGGCGGCGCCATCCCGTACCCTTCTTTCAGGTGACCAATGTCGCCGCCGCCCCACGCCACCGCCCTCGTCTCCATTCATCAACGTCATGCCCATAACCGCATAGTCACAACTCCAATCCACCCCCACTCTGACTCCTCGAAGGAGGACGAGGCGTGGGTTGGAGCAGACTTCTCTAGGATTTGTGACCCTGAGGCGATACGCCGCTTCATGATCGCGAGCAACTCATCGCCCGGCTACTCGATTCCGACGGCGAGGGCGCTTACGACCCGACTCATGAGTGTTTCCACATCGGACTCGGAATGCCGAGCACGGGCAACGATGGAGGAAGGCGCGATAGCGCCACACCACCACGCACGGGGGTCCTCGCCGGTGGCGGTAGGTGTCCCCACCCCGAGCAACTTCGGCGCGATAGACCTAGAGCGGCTCCGTGAGCTTCAAGCCAAGGTCGAGCAAGATCGACTCCTCTGCAGCAGCTCCGAGCCACCCCTCGAGCAAGAGAAGCGGGGGCGCGATGGCGATGGCGGAACAGCCCGGTGGGGCTCGCGACGTCAACCGCCCCGCGTGCGATGATGAGGGGGCGAGCAACCCCCTGTCTTCAATCGCGCTAGCGAACTTATTGCGGCGGCAATCTGGTCCGAAGCGATGCCCGAGCCCTCTACCACGGAGGGGCGGCGAGTCCACGGCGAACTCGGGGCCTTCTCGAGGCCGCCGGCGGCAAAGCGGGCCAAAAGCTCAGCGTCTCGATGACGCTGGGATGCCTCAAACGACCCCTTGGTGCACGACCGCCTCGGGGCCCCCTCGCGGCACCACCCGCCTCGACGAGCCAAGACTTACGCCCTCTGCAGCGGCGAGTTGTATAGGCGTAGCCCATCTGGTATTCTCCAACGGTGCATCACCACCGAGGTGGCCAATCACTACTCCGGGACTTGCATGCGGGAACTGCGGGCACCACGCGGCGCCTCGGCGCTAGTGGGAAATGCCTTCCGCCAAGGTTTCTCTATCGCCAACAGCGGTGGTCGATGCCACGGGCTAGTATGCGCTCCCGTGAAGGATACCATTACTATGCTCGACAGACGCACCTCCGGCCCAAGCCCTCCAAACCATCCCTATCACATGGCCATTCGCCATGTGGGAAATTTGAACATGGTTGGGCCTCTGCGAGAAGGCACCCGGGGCTATACCCATCCGCTCGTAGCCATCGACAAATTCTCCAAATGGATCGAGGCTCGTCCAATCACCCAAATCAAATCCGAGCAAGCAGTGTTGTTCTTTACGGATATCATCCACAGGTTAGGAATCCCAAATACCATCATCACCGACAACGAGACGCAATTCACCGGCCACAAGTTCACGACGTTTCTGCGACAACCACCACATCCGTAGTGGTGGTGCGTGACCGTAGGACACCCTAGGACAAGCGGCCAAGTAGAGCGTGCCAGCGGCATGATCCTACAAGGCCTCAAGCCAAGAATCTACAACGGTTGAAAAAGTTTGGCAAGAAATGGCTTGCCGAACTCCCTCGGTCATTTGGAGCTCGAGGAATACACCGAGTCAAGCCACGGGATTCATACCATTCTTCACGGTCTATGGGGCCGAGGCCATCCTCCCCACCGACTTGGAGTCACGGCTCCACGAGACTACTGGGCCTACAACGAGCAAAAAAAGCAGCCTTTGCCGCATGAGGACGCCTCGACCAACTTGAGGAAGCCCGAGACATTGCCCTGCTACACTCGGCCAAATACCGACCAAGCCCCTACGACGCTACCAAGCTGGCACATTCGGAGCCGAGACACGAAGGTGGGCGACACAGTGTGCGAGGTGAGGCCGAGGCAGAGAGCAATAAGGGCCGCCAAGGTGACCCCACCATGGGAAGGGCCGTACATCGTCTCCCAAGCATCTGAAGCCAGAACCTACAAAGGTGGCCAACGAGAAGGCGATATCTTCACCAACGCTTGGAACATAGAACAGCTACGTCGTTTCTACCCTTAAGTTTCCAAACGTTGTTTACATTGTTACTCGGAATACAATAAAGAAGCGTTCTTTAGTTGTTACAATCTTTCGAGGACCCCCCTTAATAGGCAACTCGATTGTATGGAACCTAAGGACCAAAAGTTCGTCTCAAAGGCAAAAGACCGGCTGAGCCGTGAGAACGGCCTACGCCTCTGGGCTACGGCAGCTCCCTCGCCACCTTTTCGCCCAAGAGACAGCTTAGGCTCCGAGGAAGTTCTTTGCAAAGAGCTTGTCTATCGATAGGGGCTCGACGTCACAATAACACTACAAGAGAGACTCGGCTCTGCCTCTGCAGAGCCGAGCCTCCCTCGGGGGCTAAAAAGGGGGGAACCCCCTAAGTC